ATTAGTCAGGATCCTGGGTAGCAACTGACAGAAACTCAACTCCACTCAGCCCAAAAGGGTCTCATGTTCACCCCTTTAAGCAATAATCCTGATCAGTGGAGTAAAGTACAACCCCAGGCTGGGTTACATGTCCACCCACCCCTGTGGCAGGATGGATGGATCTATTAACAGAATAAGAGGGCAAGCTGGAGCAAAGTCAAGAAGTCAGCCTGTGATTATCTATCATATACCACCTACGCATACACGTGTGCATACATGTATGTGCACACACACTCATACACTGTGTTGGTATTGTTGTTTTGCCCAGTTGCTCATTTAAAAAGTACAAGATAGTAAAATCATCAAGATTTGTTTGTTATAAGTAATATTACATGGTGGCTGAATAGAAGAGCAATCGTTTTCCAAGGGAGTTTTAAATTAAAAAAAAAAAATTTATATAGCACTTAACAAAACACTTTTCATATACAGTATTTCATGTAATCTTCACAATATATATCACGAAAGAGAACAGTTTGGCAGTGTCTACAAAGTCTTATATGTGTGTTCCTTTAACCCGGCCATTCCATTTCTCAGAATATACCTTAGGAATATGTTTGCATGTGTGCATAAGAAGGTATGCCCGAGGATGCTCACTGCAGCATTGTTTTTAATACCAAAAGACTGGGGGGAGAAAAAACCCTAGAAGACCACCAATTGGCAAACAACCAAGTACTGTACATAACCTTTAAAAAGGAGACAGCTCTATGTCCTGAAGAGAGAAAACCTCTAAGGCATATGAAGTGAAAAGGCAAGTAGCGAAACAGCACGCAGCACAAACATGCGTCAGTCAGGGTCGCGACAGGAGAGAGGACTCATTCAAGTGGTTCAAAAGAAGAGACTTTATTGAAGGGCCTACTTTGAGAGCTGTGGTCAGGGTTAAAGGAACAAAGAAGGGATGCTAAGTCACCCAGAATCTAGTGGCTGCGGATCCAGGAATGGCATGCTCTCATAGGGAAGGGAATTACTGCTAGACCCTTGGTACTAGGGCAAGGAGAGAGCAGGGGAGCAAACACCTCCACCTCTCTCCTCCCAACTTCTATATCCTGCGTAACCCTCTTATTGGCTGAACTCAACCGAAAGCCAGCAGCAAAGATATCTGGTGAGGGTGGCCTTCCAGAACACA